ATGGCCTGGTCAAGAAGGGCCTTTGCCCGGAGGCCTTTCTTTTTTTGTTAATCCTCCCCAGACTATTTTTTTTCCATTGATTTTTTTTAGAACCAATGGAAGGGATTGGGGGAGGGGAGAGAGAGGAGAGGGAGAGAAGACATTGATGTGGGAGAGACATCAATTGGTTGTCTGCTGCACATGCCTGACCAGAGCCAGGGATCAAACCTGCAACTGAGGTGTATGCCCTTGACTGGGAATCGAGCCCAAGACCCTTGAGTGCACAGGCCAACACTCTAACCACTGAGCAATGCTGGCTGGGGCTGCCTAGTGGCTTTTTGAGCTGGGATCTTGATAGGAGGCCATTTGAGAGGGCATGCCTAGAATATAATTCCCAGTTCAGTGAGCCAACTGGGTTGGTGTAAAAAACAAAACAAATCAAACAATAACAACATTGTTGTAAAAACTTGTAATAACTACATTTTTGTGGGGTGGGAATCAAAGGGTAATAAAATACCCAAGAATACCTGGGGCTCAAAATCAAGAGCAAGCCGAAACCGGTTTGGCTCAGTGGTAGAGCATCGGTCTGCGGACTGAAAGGTCCCAAGTTCGATTCCGGTCAGGGGCATGTACGTTGGTTGCGGGCACATCCCCGGTAGGGGGTGTGCAAGAGGCAGCTGGTTGATGTTTCTCCCTCATCGACGTTTCTAGCTCTCTATCTCTCTCCCTTCCTCTGTGTAAAAAATCAATAAAATATATATTTTTTAAAATCAAGAGCAAATTGGTTCTCCCACAGAGAACTTCAATGGCTACCAGAAGCCCTAACACTGCTTGGGGGGAGGGGTGGCTGAAATGGACATGCAGCTACTCAGTTTGAAAGGAAAAAGTACAGCAACGGGGGAATCCGATTTCAGAAACCCTGTCGGTCCCCTGGCTGCTGCCCCTCCAGCATATCAGCCTCTCTACTTTTTTTCACCTTTTCCATCTCATTCTGCTGGGTTTTATTATGATTTTTTTTAAAGAATTATTTTTATTTTTATTTAAATATATTTTATTGATTTTTTACAGAGAGGAAGGGAGAGAGAGAGAGAGCTAGAAGCGTTGATGAGAGAGAAACATCGACCAGCTGCCTCCTGCACACCCCCTTCCGGGGATGTGCCTGCAACCAACATACATGCCCCTGACCGGAATCGAACCTGGGACCTTTCAGTCTGCAGACCGACGCTCTACCACTGAGCCAAACCGGTTTCGGCTATTTTATTGATTTTTTACAGAGAGGAAGGGAGAGGGATAGAGAGCTACAAACATCAATCAGCTGCCTCCTGCACACCCCCTGCTGGGGATGTGCCTGCAACCAAGGTACATGTCCTTGTCCGGAATCGAACCTGGGACCTTTCAGTTCGCAGCCGGGTGCTCTATCCACTGAGCCAAACCAAACCGGTTTGGGCTTATTATGGCTTTTAATCTCTGCTTCTCTAGGTTTACATTTAGGATCCTTCAGAGTTAAATAGAAGTTAAATATTTTTTAAAATGGGTCAAATGTGGTATACATTAACACAGGATCGTGAGGTAGACTTTTATACCAAAAATGATTTTTGAAAAGTAATTCAACCTTCTGTCAGCATTTGCCTTGGGGTCATGGCAGATGTCTGTGTTCTATGCCACTTAACTTCTGTTTTTCTTACAGTGAGTTTGGGTTGCTTTTAGTATAAGAAAAAATTTTTTTTCAGGTGGTAATGTAAAAATTGTGAACATATTTTTATATTAAAATAATCTCATGGGTTGTTTTCAATTAGTAATAACTTGGAAATTTTACATAGTCTCTTCAAATTGTAAGTAGAATAATTACCTATTTCGTCCCAAAATAGACTTAGTGCCAACTTTTAAAACTTTCTTTTTCTTTTCTTCTTTTTTTAAAATATATTTTATTGATTTTTTTACAGAGAGGAAGACAGAGAGCTAGAAACATCGATGATAGAGAAACATCTGCCAGCTGCCTCTTGCACACCCCCTACCGGGACCAACGTACATGCCCCTGACCGGAATCGAACCCGGGACCTTTTAGTCCAAAGGCCGACGCTCTACCACTGAGCCAAACCGGTTTAGGCTTAGTGCCAACTTTTAAACCCCATACCGTTGGAATAGCATGGCATTTTGTGCACCAATGCCAAAAATAAACAGATTCAAAGCTGTAATGAAGCAAAGAGGGGGTGGTTGTGGATAAGGACACCAAACAGATTTGTACAAATATTTTAAAGAGTTCCCTGTGTAGCTGAAACCGGTTTGGCTCAAGGGTCCCAGGTTCGATTCCGGTCAAGGGCATGTACCTTGGTTGCGGGCATATCCCCAGTGGGGGGTGTGCAAGAGGCAGCTTGATGACTCTCTCTCATCGATGTTTCTAACTCTCTATCTCTCTCCCTTCCTCTCTGTACAAAAATCAATGAAATATATTTTTTAAAAAAAGTTCCCTGTGTAGTCACTAAGCACTTTTAATGACTACATAAAATTTAATTTTAACAAGTATGTTTTTTAAGACAACCACTTTAAAAAAGGCTTAAAAAGAACATTCCTTTTTTTTTTTTTTTTTGAGGTAAGGGAATGCTCTTAAATCTTTTTGTTTTACTATGAACACAAAATAACAATTCACATGCAATATAAAGCAAAATTTAGGAATCCCCTTCTTACTCCTTCCCCCCAAAATGACTGCTAATGGCCTCTCACCAGAAAAATCAGTGTTTTAAATAGAGAGGGTTTGTCTGGTAAGGAGCTTGAGGGGCCTTTTGTGGTGGTGATTCAACAGGTAATTCATGACCAGTCATCAAGCAATGTCCTTTTCTGTATGTATATTCTTTTTAACTGATTTGAGAGAGAAGTGGGATGAAGGGAGAGGGGGAGAAAGAGATAACACTGATTTGATTTGATGGTCCCTTATTTATGCATTTTATGCATTCATTGTTTAATTCTTACATGTGGCCTGATGGGGGGGGGGGGGGGGGGAGTGTGGAAATTGAACGCCCAACCTTGGGGTATGAGGATGATTCTTCAACCAAGTGAGCTAACAGGCCAGGGCTTGTATGTGCATCTCAATCAAAGGGTTAAAAACGGGAGGCCAGAGAAAGTAACTTGAAACTAAGTACCCTGTTTCCCCGAAAATAAGACAGTGTCTTATATTAATTTTTTCTCCCAAAGTAGCACTAGGTCTTATTTTCAGGGGATGTCTTATCTTTCCATGCGCTAGGTCTTATTTTCGGAGGGTGTCTTATTTTCGGGGAAACACAGGTATAAAGAGCAGCAAATATCTGACCAGCAAGACCTCTTGAATAGTTTACAACTAGAGTCAGAAGGAGTCATGTCTAAAAAGCAACCAGTTTGAAAAAGGCATCCAGCATCACTCCCGGGAACTTCAGAAATGATGAAACATTGTTGCGTTAACATACCAGCCAAGAATTCATTCCAGTGCCTAAGGGACAATTACCCACAGACTAGTTTATAAAATGAAATTGCTTCTGTTACTTTCAAGATGGGCTCTTGGAAATAAGAGGTAGAGCTGGAGGAGCTACCACTTCAGGGAGGACACTGTCTGATAAGCAGTCAGCTTCCCCTTCGGGTTGGAGAGCTGTCCCCAACTGAGCGAGACCTCTGGGCTACTTCAGCAGACAGAGCTGAGCTCTGGGAGTCCTCCCTGCACCGTGTTCCGTGTGGCGGCCGCAGTGGAAGGCTGCTGCAGTGTAAGGCTGCCATGCCCACCTGGTTTAAACACACCTAAGGCTGTGCAACAGCAAACTGTTGCTAGCAGGTACACTGAGGCTTAGAGTCGAGGCACAGCAGCCAGGAAGGACAGCATCACCCTTGTCAGGTCAGGCGTACCTTTTATCTCTCAAATCTCCTACCATCCAGGAATTTTCTTCCGCCCAGGGCAGAGCGTGCTGTTGCTTAGCAACTTCAACAAGTCATATCCCAAATAGGGAATAGAGGTGGCTAAAATAAACACAGTGACAAAATCACTGCAAGTTACAACTGGGTGGGGCTAAAGATAGGAAACACAGACTATTTTTCTTAACCCTGACCTGTGAACACCACACCATGCCCTGACTCTGTTGCTTGTGGTTTTTAACTGACTTTACAGAAACCCAGAGGAAGTATATGAATTTGGTTTTGCTTTCGGTCCCTTTCAATTCAACGATGCTCAAGACTCCCCCTTCCTCCCTTGTACGATGGGCCAAAGAACGTCTATCACTACCCTCTACATCACAAAGTGCTAGGAGGGTTGTGGTATTTCTGTAGATGACCTGGAGCAGCTGGTGCCGGTTCAGCCAATTAAACATTAACTCGGGGTTTTCTGTCTTTAAGCTTTCTGGCAAAAGGTCTGCAACCCCAAGTGACAATCACTTCAAGAGCCACAGGGAACTGCTGCCTGGGGCTGGTACCCTTTCCTTCCGGACAAACGAATCGTCCGGCTGGCTCGGCTCAAGGACTTGGCAGAGAGAAAACAGATCAATCGATGAAGCACGACCAAGACAGAGCCCCAGGCAGGCTGTCCGGAGTTCACGGAGGGCAAACACGTCGGCAAAATAACTACAAACCGTCCAAGTTCACCTGTGACAAGACCAGGCGCTTCACCTCCGCGGGGAGCGAAGGGCAGGCTACACTCCGGGTCTCAATCTCCCCACAACCCGTCCCGGGGCCCCGCGCCGAGGCGCCCCCCAAAATAGGACCGGCTCCCACCTATGGCTGGGGGCCACGCCCCTCGGAACCCTAGGATCTGGGGCGCTCCCCGCCTCACCCCGCGGCCCCCTCCTCGCCCCAGTCGACCACGACCTCCTAGGCAGCCCCCAAACCCCGCGGAGATCTGGGCACGGGCCGGCCTCCCTCCACTGGCCCGGCTGTCCCGCACCCCACAGGGGCCCCCGGCGCCCCCGTCCGCCCCCACCCGAGCTGCAGCTCCTCCCCACTCACGACCCTCACCCCCCCGAGCCGGGCCCGGCGCCTCCATCACAATCCCGAGACCGGGGGAGCCTCACCTCGGGCGGGAGCCGGCGGCAGCGGACGGCGCCGGGGGCTCAGCGCATCCTGGGGTCGCAGGGAGCCGGAAGTGGGGCCGCGCGGAGCCCGCAACCAGTTATATAACCGGCAGGGGCCGCAGCCGGGACTGAGGCGGCGGCCCACGGCACTTCCGGCTCCCTCGCTGGGCCGGAGGAGCAGACCGGAAGCCCATTGGCCCCTAGCGCGCACCTAGGGCGCCGCCTCCCCGAGGCTGACGCCGCCATCTTGGGAGTGGGCAGGCCTCCCCGGAAACCAGGTGGCGGAGGCGCGGGGACGCCGGATGGGGAGCGTCTGCAGGGGCGAGTGAAGTTCCGAGGGGCGCCCTCACGAGATGGGCAGATCGGGACAGGCAGATTGCTGTCATTTCCCTAGTTGGGTTTGGGGTTTGGCTGCTGGCCCATGCCCAGCCCGTGCAGGGTACCGAACCAGGCTAACGTGATTGCGGGACCTATCCCGGCGGCGGGCACGAAGCCAACAGCCTGACGTCCGTCTCCGCAGAAAGGCCGTTCAGGGCTGCGGCTGTGTGAATCGGCAGGTGTCCCTTGCCCTCAAGTTGCAGGAGCGTCTGTATCACAAGATCCAGGGAACTTTGTTGACCAAAATCGGATGTTAACTTTAAAGCAGGAATTTATTCTTTGCCTTTCAATAACTTACCAGTGGTCAGCAAACTCATTAGTCAACAGAGCCCAATATCAGCAGTACAACAATTGAAATTTCTTTGGAGAGCCAAATTTTTTAAATTTAAGCTATATAGGTAGGTACATTGTTATTAACTTAAGGTCCTCCTATGCTGGCCTTTGCAAAATCTCAAGGAGACGAAGAGCCGCGTGTGGCTCGCGAGTCGCAGTTTGCCGACCACTGACTTAATGGTTCACATAGCCAACGAATGGAATAAAAAGGACCTGCTTACAGCCAAGGGCGACGATGACCAATCCTTAAAGGATTTAAATCATATTTAGGAGAATAAATATCATCACGGATTAAAAGTCCAAATAAAATAGCAGAAGTGTTAAAAGTGCATTGTTTAATATCTTGACAAGGAAATGGCACTTAAAGAGATGTTTTTATATTTTTTATTGATTTCAGAGAGGGAGAGAGAGAAACATCAATGATGAGAGAGTCATGGATTGGCAGCCTCCTGCGTACCCCCTGCTGGAAATAGAGCAGAACTCCAGGCAAAACCCAGGCATGTGCCTTCACCTGGAATCCAACTGTGACCTTCTGGTTCATAGGGGGAGATGCTCTGAACCACATGGCACAGAGATTAGAAGTTTCAAAGGCAATTGGTATACATAGATCAAAGTGATATAAAACAATAAGGAATAGATCACCTACTGTCTACATATGTGTAGTTGCTGGTGGAATCCTGATTTATGTAAAATAACCTGTATTTATATTTACTTTTTGTAGTGTTTCTGTTAAGTTCCTTTTTAAAAACTATATTTTATTGATTTTTAAAAATATATATTTTATTGATTTTTTACAGAGAGGAAGGGAGAAGGATAGAGAGCTGGAAACATTGATGAGAAATATCGATCAGTCACCTCCTGCACACCCCCAACAGGGGATGTGCCCACAACCAAGGTACATGCCCTTGACCGGAATCAAACCTGGGACCCTTCAGTCTGCAGGCCAACACTCTATCCACTGAGCCAAACATGTTTCGACAAGTTCCTTTTTTTAAAAGGCTGAAAAATCAATTGGAAAAAATGAAAATTAATATTAATACTATTTACAACTCTGCAGACTTTTAGGTTTAAGCACTGCAAACATGCTACTGTAAGCAAAAATGCTATAGTAAACTGTGTTTAGGCCCAGAACATTTTGTTGCAAAAAAATTAAGAGGAATTAGAAAATCCATATAATGTGAAAGGTCGGTAGGGCACTTAAGAGTGAGGTAGGTGTGTTAAAATGCAGATTTTGAAGCTCTACAACCTTTCTAGAGATGGGCTGCAAATTTATTTTTATTTGTTTATACTTTATTGGTTTCCTAGGGAGAGGGAGAGAGAAACATCAATGATGAGAGATAATCATCATTTGGTTGCCTCTAGCACCCCACCCCTGCCCCCCACACTCCACTGGGGATTGAGCCTTAAACTCGGGGCATATGACCTGGAGACTTCCTGGTTCATAAGTTGATGCATAACCACTGAGCCATGCCATGGATTACAAATTTAGATCCAGTCCTTCCAGAACCCACTTTGAAGAGAACTGATTATAAGATTTGACAAATTAGTGTGTCAGGGGCTGCTAATTGTCCCCTGGTGTCCATTGTCCCACTCCTCCTCTTCCTTCTCTTCTTCTTCTTTTCCTTCTTCTTCTTCTTCTTCTTCTTCTTCTTCTTCTTCTTCTTCTTCTTCTCCTTCTCCTCCTCCTCCTCCTCCTCCTCCTCCTCCTCCTCCTCCTCCTCCTCCTCCTCCTCCTCCTTAAAAATAACTGCTTTATTATATCTTCTTGTAGTAATAGAATCTTACCCCCAATAGCAGGCAAATAGCTGTCAAGGTAGCTTTATGTTTCTTGGCCTCCCTTAGGGCAAAAGTGAAGCTATGTGCCAAAGTTTTTTTTACCAATGGACAAGAGTGAAAGGGATGTAGGCAACTTCTGTGTCATGTCCCCAAAAGAAAATTGCTTGAATGTTAACAATTGGTGAAACTAGGTGAAGGGTACATAGTTGTTTACTGCACTATTCTTTCAAATATTCCTATTTGAAAAGCATTTCAATAAATAGATAGGGTTTTTTGTTTTTAAAGGAATTTGCTTGCTTTCCTTCTCCTCTACTTCACCTTTCCCGTAGAACATGGATGCAGTGGTAAGCCCCTTCAATCACACAAGAGAGGCAAAACCCTACCTAGGTTCTTGCTACTCAAAATATGGTCTGTGGTCCAGCAGTAGCAGCATCACTTGGGAGCTTATTAAAAATGCAGAACTTCAGGCCTCACCCAGATTGACTGAGTCATAATTTGCATTTAAGACTCTGCATTTAACAGATCCCTAAGTGATTTATATGCATATTAAAGTGTGAGAAGCATGCTCTAGCTGATGATAGAGTTATAACATTCTACTGTCTGTAGGGTTCAATGTACAGCTGAAAGTATTGTAAAATGAGTTTCAGATAAACTGTCAAAACTGAAAAGGGCATACATAGCCATTCAAACTTTAAAAACACTCTCTTTAAACACAAATGAGAACATAATAATGATAGCTCTTTCCCCAGGGCTTACTATGTGCAGGCACTGTGTTAAGCATCTTACACAGAATCTCATTTATTCTCAGAGCAGTTGTTTCAGTTAGGTACCATATGTTACTGCAGGGATATTCAAGATGGTTGTCCTCCTAAAAACAGTCCATCTTCTCCTATTGTGTTGACTCCACCCGCAAAATGGTCTTAATCTTCTAACCCATTAAGGTCAGCCATTCCCCCTTGGCTTGGTGATTGGCTCAGATAACTCAGCATGTGGGAGGGATATCTCTTGGTCACAGGGATTGGCTCAGGAAAGGTCTAATCAGCAATGAACTCAATACTGATTGGTCCTCCTACTCTTTGCCTTCCTGGTTTCTTTTTCTTCTTCTTTTTATTTTTTTTATTTTTTATTTTTATTTTTATATATTTTATTGATTTTGTACAGAGAGGAAGGGAGAGAGATAGAGAGTTAGAAACATCGATGAGAGAGAGTCATCGATCAGCTGCCTCTTGCACACCCCCTACTGGGGATATGCCTGCAACCAAGGTACATGCCCTTGACCGGAATCGAACCCGGGACCCTTCAGTCCCCAAGCCGATGCTCTATCCATTAAGCCAAACCGGTCTCGGCTTCTTTTTTTTTTTTTTTTTAATACATTTTATTGATATTTTACAGAGAGGAAGAGGGATAGTTAGAAACATCGATGAGAGGGAAACATCAATCAGCAGATGCCTCCTGCACACCCCCTACTGGGGATGTGCCCGCAACCAAGGTACATGCCCTTGACCGGAATCGAACCTGGGACCCTTCAGTCCACAGGCCAATGCTCTATCCACTGAGCCAAACCGGTTAGGACTATTTTTCTCTTGCCTACTCATGGCTCTTCTAATCCTCTGGCCATGGGTCAAGCAGAGAGATACCAGAGGCACTACCAGTGGACAAAGCCAGCAGTCTTTACTCCTCTAGTCTAGCCACATTCCAACCTGCCAAATAAAGACCAGTCCTTCATGGAACACTTAGAAAAAAACCCTCAATTCCTGCCTCCTCAGCTGTAGAACCGTCCCCCAGCTTAGAGAGAGGAAGGTAATCAGGTTCCTCTGGGCCGGGGAGGGCAACAAGCTACCATCTATATTTGCAGGCTCAGTCTTTCCTGAGCCCTGGTTTAATTACTACTCTGTTAATTATGAAAGTAATACATACTATCATATAAGTGTCAACTTTCTCTGCAGCTCCACAAAGATCTAAGGTCAGGACCTCTTCAGAAATTAGGGCACTTTAATTGTCACCTCTCCCTTCTAGTTCCCAAGCTCTCATCTGGCCTAGAGAGGAACAAAGTTGGATACTGCTCTCTTTTACCAACTAGGGTGGATTGCACTGTCTAGGGTAGGGGTGTCGAACTCAATCAGAGAAGGGGCCAAAATCTAAAATCCAGCCTAAATCGCGGGCCGAATGGTTTACTGAACAGTCATAAACTGTCATTGTGATGGAAACGCAGCGGAGTGCAGTGATGACAGCGCGGTGCGGGCCACATTGCAAGGCCTGGCGGGACGGATTTGGCCCGCGGGCCTTGTGTTTGACACATGTGGTCTAGGGCCCTACTCACTATACTCCATCCGATGGACTGGGGTTGGGGAGAGGGGAAAGCAGGGGCTGGTGATCAGGTTTCCCCAGCAAACATAAAGACATTCAGGTATAAATGGCATTGCAATGAGCAGTCTTGTACAGAAACCTGCACACAGCTCAATTATTTCCTTAGAGAAAATTCCTGGAATGTTGGTTAAAACTTTTCAAGGGAGAAGGCTCCTGTCTCACACATCCTTTCCAAGAGGCAAGGTATTATCATTCATCATTCCTTCTCTGCAAACTAGGTGAAAAAGATCTCACTATTTTAATGTGTATTTCTTAGTAAGTTTGATCACTTTTTCTTATTTTCATTAGCCATTTATATTTCTTCTCTATATGATTTCTACAGATGTGTTCAAC